CCAGCGGAGGTAATGGCGCCCGCGCCGCCTTAACAGCCCCTCTGCCCCGCGCTGGCCTCCCCCTCACCGTTTCACTCTTCCCTCCCCTCAGGACATGGCGAAAAGCCTGAGGAGCAAATGGAAGAGGAAGATGCGGGCGGAGAAGAGGAAGAAGAACGCGCCCAGGGAGCTGGAGAGGCTGAAAAAAATCTTGGGAACCAACGCGGATGTCGTCATGGAGGAGGTCAAGGAGGTGGCGACCGTCCTGCCCCCCAAGAAAGTCCTCGAGCAGGGGGGTGAGTGGGGCTCTCGCTGGGCGGTGCTGGGGTTACGGGGTGGCCCCGCTGGCAAACCGGACCACCCCCGAGGGCGGCCGAGGTGCCCGCGCCGCCTGTCGCGCGGCCCTGGGTTGCCCGAGACCTGCCGTTTGGGTGCCCGGCTGCCTTTTCCTCCCGCCCCCCCTCCCCGGACGCGTTTCTAGCGTCTTTTTCACTGCACCGGTTCTTCTGTTGCAACCACCCAAGTGCAGGGACGTCCTGCGGTATATTTATTACTGTTCCTGTGACGCTCGCTGTCGTGATCAGACTCATGAGTGTTACAGGTTGAGAATAGTGGGTTGGAAAACCAGATCTTTATCTTTTAAAGCCAAAAGATGCTATTAAATCATTGGATCTGGTCATGTCACAACGTTAGCTTCTGTATTGCATCCGGCCACTTGTGGAACAAGCTTATTAACATTTGATTTAGAGTATGTAGTATCTTATGGAGAGAGATCTCTTTGTGAAGGCATCAGGTGAGTGAGGATTCCTCACTTAGCAGTCGTTCCAATCACAGCGTTATATTTGCTGTTAAACTGATGATAGGATATAATTTCCCTCCTAGTTTAAGGAGGACACTAAGCATATAAAAGTCGGACCTAAATCTAAAGTAATTTTGTAGAGATTTTAGCAACAATAGAGTGATTTTTTTTTCCCCTTTTTAAATGTACAAGGTAGGGTAGTAGGGACCCTGGTTTTGTATGCTAATTAATGCTGCATTGCACATGGTGCGGGAGTGGGTGGTATTAGGTGTCTACAGATAACTCTATTCCTTGAATAGGATGTAGTCTGTAAAGGAGGTAACCCAGGAAGTGCAAACAGGTTTTAAATAGCTACATACTGGACAGGAGTCAGAAAGACACCTTCTCTTTCCAAAACTGCAGTCCAAGCTAAATCAGAATCCTTTTTGCTTCTCCAATTTATGCCACTTAAGCTGTTATGATGTTGCTGATGTGAGCTTTTTATGTGGCATGCAGAAGTCTCTTGAAACACCACAGTGGGGATATAGAATAATGCTAGTAATCGCTGTCAGTCATGCAGCCAGTTTTGTCAGTGTTTCAGAAATTAGGAAAGACAGGGAAGTGTTATGAGGTTGAATAGCAGAGCCTGTAAACTAGATTGAAAATGGAAATAGAATGCAATATAAAAATACTTGCCCAATTAGGGGTAGCTTGGAGTATAATTTGTAATTTTATCCGTGGTTCTGATTTGTCCCATAAACCGGATGTAAAAGTTGTTCTTTATGGGATTGTTAGAATTTAATTTCCAAAATGTTTTGGAACATTGTCAGCTTTCTGATACTGATGCTGGAGGAAACATTGTCTTAAACCTAGTTTCTGAAGCAAATGCCTGGCTATCTGTCATTCCTGCACCCCCTTCCAAGTCTGCTGGCAACTTTTCTACAAGTGGCCAATTTCACTTGGCCTTTGTAGAGAGGTAGCAGTCTCAGAAATACCTAAGAATATATATATTTCACAAAACAACTACAAGTTTTGTGAAGATAATGATGTCTTCTTTGAGAGGACTTTCCAGCATGAACTGTTTGTGGACACAAGGGAGTTCATCTTGCCAAATGTTACAAGGACTGAAGGTAGATGAAAGCTTCATCCAGAATATGCGCTTTCCATAGAAAGGTGAATAATTTTCCAGCCTAAGAAAGTATATAGGTGTATATTAGGGACATTTTTCTGTGTTACTTTAAGGTATTTTTCACAGCACACTGTGATTTCCCCCCCAGTTTTTGTTGTTAGGAAAAAAAATAATAGAAGGTCTGGCTAGCCTTTGGTCAAAAATGGTTTTGTAGCTGTTTTTAAAACTTTGTGGGCATGCACGTATTTTTCAAGATAATCATATCCATTGAGTCTGCTTCGATAACCTACTTTTAAAGCTTTTTTTCCTTGGTCCTTTTCTCTTTGTCTTTAACCCCTTTGATAGGTTTTCTTTATGTTCTTGGACCACTTCTGTTCAGTAGGTTTCTTCCTGTTACTGATTCCTACAGCATCCTTGAGATGCAAAGTATGATGAAAATGTTGTGCTCTGTGAACAACTGGTATTTTTTGTTCAGGAGTATTCCTTCATTTAGCTAATGTTGCAGCTGACGTTTATTGTGGATGTGCTTTTTTGCAGTCAAAATTTGTATAACAGATTAACCTCAATCATTTGATAGGACAGGAATCGGAGAAGCAGCTTACGTATGTAGAGTTGGTTTTCTTGGGGTGTTGGGTTTTTTTGTGTTGTTGGAGGCCTTCTCTCCTTCTGTGACATTTGGAAAATGACACTGTTAAGAAGGCCTCGTGTTGTGTTTCTCTGGTGTCTCAGGAGGTTTTTGGAGCTGGGACTTTTTTTACTGCCTGTCCCATGGTGGATCAGCCTTTGGTTGTGCCAGCAGGCAGTAGGCCCTTGTGCTGATTCTCTGCCGACTACAAGTATTTGTATCCCAGCTTTAGGGCTGCCTAAGCACATCTTTGTGGTCCAGATCCCTGTAGACTATCAGCATGCTTCAACTATTGAAGCAGCGTGTTGGCCTTTTCCTTGTGAACTTTGTCTCCCAACATCAGGCAGGCACAACAGAAAAAAGTCTTTTTTCCTCTCTGTAAAAGCTTGTGATAAAGCTTTTAGAGTTGCACATGGATGGTTTGGAAACAAGGTTGAAATTAAATAGTAGAGCACAGTTCAAATCTATACTTAACAAGGTGTTGTCCTTATAGTCTTGTTGTCTCACTGAGGCATGATGTTCATGTGGTGTTAGCTAGCTAGGGACGCTGTTCTTGGGAGTGACCATGTCACAGGCAGTCTTCCTGATCCTAGAGATCAATCCTCTATTCCTGTCTCTAAATATATTGGACTTGACCTCGTGCTCACTTTTTGAGGCGAATGTAGCATCGCTGGCTCATGCTTTGTACCGTCATTCTATTTCAGCTTTTCTCTTTATTCTTCTCTTTACCGGTCTTCATCTTCCAGTCAAATCAATTTCATTTTTTAGAACAGATCTTAAACATTACATCGTAAAAACTGTTTAATTGTGCATATGTTTCAGTAAGCCTATGGCTTCCTGTATGGTTGCAGCATTTGATGGAGACCACACACAATGTTTTTAGACGCAGTATTGGAACAGATGGCAGACTAAAGAAGAAGGTGCTTTGCCCAGACATGGGCCTTTAGGGAAAATTCTGCGTATTTACTCTCAGCTGTTGAAGTTCCTGGGTTGCAGCTGTATTGGTTTGGAAAGCGCTTTCAGTGTATAAAGCCTTCAGCTCTCTACATACAAATACTGTTGTGCGTAGGGATATTTTTGTGTCATTTCTGTGAATCTAGTAATAAAACAGCTTCTATGAAGCTGATTCATGTATTTTACTCACTATAAATACCTTTCTTTTTCAGATGACTGCAAAATGGACATAGATAGTAAACGAAACAAAAAAACTCTTCTAGACCAGCATGGACAGTACCCAATATGGATGAATTCCAGGCAGAGAAAGAAGCTGAAGGCACAGCGTGTTAAAGGGAAAAAAAAATCGAAATTGGCCAAAGGCCTAGTCTGGTAAAATCGGAGTTTTGTAAGATCACGAGTATTTTACTCACAAAATAAATATCCCAGATAAGTACAGGATATTTTTGTGCTTGGCCACTGAGTGTAATTTACTGTGTTGCATGAACTTTTGAAGAGGCTGTTAGGCCAGCAAATGATGAAAGCAATATCAACTTGGTGTCTGCCGAACTTAAAAAAATAATACAAAAAGCAAGCTGAGTGCCGTTGAATAGACTAAGTGTCTGTGGTTATCTGTTCTCTTGAGGGGGGAGGGTCTTCATCTTTTATGTTGTGAATGCTGAAAATGCCAAAGGAAATCCTAAAAATAACGAAACTAAATGTTTTTTGTACTGTGGTCTTTGCCAATGTAACTTGTCTTTTAGTAAATTTAACCAAAGGCTTCTGTAAACTCACCATGTCCTTTAAATTATTCTGTAAAATGACTTTTGTTGCACCGATTTGTGTTGCTTTTAACATCTGGTAATTAACGAAAAAGGGCTTTTAACATGTAACTTAAAAGAGGTTATACACTGAAATCAACACCAAGGCTTCATGAAACTTCTGTAAGTAAAAAGACAAAGTGTCAATCTGACTTTAATTCGCAAAGAGAAAGTTGTTGGAACAAAGAAGTATTTATTTCACTGCTGTCTCGTAGGAACAAAATAACTGAAAGTAAAACTGATTCTTTTGTTACTGATATGAGAGAATGCAAATGCACAGATTGGAAATAAAATAGTTTTATTTACGACATTTTCCAAGTTTTAGTAAAGTAAACGAGCATTTACTTTTCCATAAGTATTTTCAGTAGCCTTTTATTCCCCTTAAAATGGTACTCATCTATCATGCTTTACAACGTGGGCATGGGATAAAATATTGCATGATTGCATAACAGATGACATTTATATGTGATTAGCTACAGTTGGTTGCATATTACTCGGCAATAACATGTGATGACAGATGCAAGAATTAGTTGCCCTGAAAGCTTGTGTTTTTCAAATGTCTCTCATTTCAAGGATGGAAATAATTACAGTACCAGTCCTGCAGTATGTTGCCTGTTGAAGTACCATTCATCGATACAGAGCATAACCTTCGTCCAACTTCATCCAGGATGGGATCCACGTTCTGTAATTGCCCACAAATTGTAATATGTTGTGACAACTTGGGCGTAGGAAATAGGATTTATTCTTTTAAAAGTAATTACACTAGCTTATACTGTGCTAAAATCCACTAAGAAGAACTCAACCTGATAGAAAATTAAGTTTTTCTGGAAAAATACAGTGGGGTTTTTTTAATTATTATTGTTGTTGTTAGGGAAAAGTATTCTGTTCCTCAGGTAAAGAACTGCAAAGGTGTTGGAGGAAATACCAATGCATCTTCTGTTTTCACATACATTGACAGTTAATGAGACTTTGTAAGATATATAGATCAAAGTTTACCAAATTATATGCTATTAATAACTTTGTACTTCAAAAATATTTCCATTAAGTTAATATCCCCGCTAAAAAACAGATGCTGCTCTTAATTTTTTTTGTTTTATTAGATAAATGGGTCTAGATTTCAGTATCAAATACGTTAGCATTTAGATTAGTACTACTTCAAAATAGTTTAATATGGAGGGAAGTGTTCTTTAAAGTTCATGTTTATCCAGAAATGGAATGGAATGTATATATGTCTGTTTGTATTTCTTTACTATTTTAATGATGTAGGCTGTATTTTGCTTAATGTGTGCTTTGGGAAGTTGTGGAGGGGAGCTTCTTGGGCTTAAATGCTAACAATTTGGGTTTTTTTCTGTAGAGTAAGCACAGTGCTATTTTTGACATGCTTGTTTGTAAATCAGATTACTTTCAAGCAGCTGCTGGGGGGAAAGCAGACCGCTTTTCCTGAGGGGAGATAATCAAACTGGCAAAGTACTCCCATTTAAGTGTACGGCTTCAAAGTCAGTTTATTTTCATTCTTTAGGTGCGCAGCCATACTCTGTGTCTCATCTTAATCAAGGCTGCCACCGCTGTACTTGCCTGATCCTCTCCTCTCTCTGGAGTTGTTGCAGTTCTGCCTCTGCTCCTTCCTCTGTGAGAGAAAATGATCTGCACAACTGAATACTCTTTCTGTTTTCTGCTTTTATGACCTAGCCCTGAGCTTTGTTGCACAAATTTATTAGTCTACTGCTTTTGTGACCAGATTAGGGATTTAAATCTCAGAGACAGCAGACGCTGCACTGATCTTTTATTTAGCAATTGCTTCCTACCAGGTGAAACAATACTGGCTGTGTGAGGTATTTCCTCCATGGTGTCCAGGATAAAGTCAAACAGGTTCACTTAAACTACAGATATTTTAAGACATCCTAGTTTTGAGCTGAAACAGAGGATAAGAAAGGAATAAATCCCCGTCTTCACTGGAAGGCAGCTCTTAGTCTAGTACCAGTGTACTTCTGTGTACAACGTTACAGCTCGCTCGGGTGAGGCAGACCTCTCTCTGGGCCAGGAAGGGTTCTGAGAGGCCGGTTGGGTGGGATCTGTAATCCTGGCTGAAGGCTCACTTGTAGACAGACAGCAGGAACCTGGCTAAATGTGCAGCACGGATGTAACCTCAGAGGTTGAGTCACAGATGCAGCAGGGAAACTTTACCTTCTAGGATTTCAGCATGTGCTATATATGGATATTGTAATTTTGTATTTGGAATTTGCTTTAGGTCTGCTTTGAGCAGCTATTTTTGAACGTGAATACTACCTTTCTAGTCATCATTGAATATTCAGTTTAAATTGCTGAATCTGAGTCGCGTTCTGTTTGATCAGTTGATGAAAAAAAATCATTCTTGTTTCTTTACAATAGAAGGTGAATTTAAACATACTAGGTTTTGACTGAAATACATGTTTTAAAAGCCAGTAGAGGGATTTCCTAAGAAGTAAGCTATCTGCCTCTAAACAACATTCTCATTATATCGTCATTTGTTGATCTTTATCTAAATTTTTTTTTTAAAGCTGTGGTTGGGGGAGAAAAGTTTGCAGTTGATTAAACAAACCGATGGAAGTCTAAAATTCTATAACTGAAATGGCATTGGCAGAGGTGGGGCTTTTTTGAGTGTGTAACTGCGCTATTACGGAACTGCCTTGTTGAAACTTCCTACCACTGTGACTCTGCCTGCAAAGTGCTGTGGTAGCTATGTTTCATGGACCTGCGAAAGGTTAGTGTAGGCAGTCTTGAACTACAAGCATAAACGCCAGAACTGAAAGAATTAAATACTGTCATTTTATTGGAATGTTTATGTGTATAAAGTGTGTGTTGTATACAGTATAAAATCTGCATTAGCAAATTGCTAAACGTCCTGCAGATTGTTGGCAGTTTCCTGAGCAGGTAACAGCGTCTGCCCTTTTTGACGCAGTATGCAGGACTTGGTTTTAAAGTGAGTTATTTCAGATGACTAAAACAACCGGTGGTGGTGGTGGTAGTGCAGTTCCTGGGCTTTTCTGGTAACTCATTCCTGCTCTGGGACACCTTTTCTGCGTTGTGTAGTCAAGTGGGTTGGGGAACTAATCTAGCTGAGATAATACTGAAAACACTTCTTTCCCCCCCCATTTTTTTCCAGCTGGATCAGTTTCCAGCCTTACTCTACAAAAAACGTTGTCAGTAGGAGGCAATACAAGACTGGGAACAAATAGCTGGTGAAGGCAGGGCTGCGTGAGACAGTCCTCTTGCTTTAAGCACTGCATGCTGAGCTATGTTCTCATGTGCCACCTCTTCTCCTATGGCACTAATGGCTCTTAATGCAGCCGCCATGCAGTACAGCGTTTTGAAGATGGGGAGAGGTTCTGGAGATTACGTCAAGCAAATGCATTGAATAGTGGTTTTGAAAGTTTTGTTCAATGGAGGGTATAGTATTAGAATAATTGAGGTCAACGTTCTTTCTTACAGTCCCCGTTAAGTTTTGCTGTAACACTCAGACAACGTAGGCTCCACTGGTGCACGTAGTCAGCTGCGAGCTTTTACAGGTTCTTTCGGTTTGCTTTATCTTTGGCTTTATCTGCAGCTGACGCTGTGGTTATCGAGTAGGCTTGTGCTGGTTTCGGCTGGGGTAGAGTTAATTTTCTTCATAGTAGGTAGGATGGGGCCATCCTTTGGATTTGTGCTGGAAACAGTGTTGATAACACAGGGATGTTTTCGTTACTGCTGAGCAGTGCTTACACAGGGTCAAGGCCTTTTCTGCTTCTCACCCCACCCCACCAGCAAGCAGGCTGGGGGTGCACAAGAAGCTGGGAGGGGACACAGGTGGGACAGCTGACCCCAACTGACCAAAGGGATATTCCATACCATATGACGTCATGCTCAGCATATAA